CACACGGCGAAGTAGTCCGTTATCTATTACCAAGGAATTCCACTGGGCCCAGTACGACTTTACGTTCGGCGAATATCTGCAAACTTCTTCCCACGTTGGTCTTTGGCCTGTTTTTCCAGTTAATTACTAAACCTAATTCTGGGTCACTGGTTTGGTCATTTGCAAGATCTTCGGGTTGCCAACTATCATTAACCACAGTTGTTCTTAGGAGTTTCACTTCTTTCTCTTCTGCTCGGGAACAATGCTTACAGTCCTTAGCGCAAGGTCTTCTGGAAAGTGCGTCGGCATTCCGATGGATTGCCCCAGCTCGATGTTCTGTGTCGAAGTCAAATTCTTGTAATCGTTCAATCCATCTAGCTACCTGCCCTTCAGGATTCTTAAACTGCAACAGCCATTTCAAAGCAGCATGGTCTGTTCTTAACAAGAACTTTCTTCCATAGAGATACTTGTAGAAGTGTTTCACTGCTTTAACTACTGCTAGTAATTCTCGTCTGGTTACACAGTAGTTCCTTTTCGGTTTTAACAAGGTCTTACTAAAATAACCAATGACTTTTTCTTGACCATCCTGGATCTGAGACAGAACAGCGCCTAACGCAACATTGCTAGCGTCGGTATCCAATATAAAGTTTCCGTTGCCAAGAGGGTAGCTAAGTATGGGCGCACTAGTCAGGGCCTTTTTCAATTTTCGGAATGCCTCGTCAGAATCTGAGTCCCAAGAGAAACGCCTCTCGCCTTCGGTAAGTCTGGTCAATGGTTTTGCGATGGTGGCGAAACCCTGTACATAGCGGCGATAGTATGTGCATAGTCCCAAAAAGCTTCGTAGTTCATGTTTATCTTTAGGTATTGGCCACTCTTCCACTGTCTTGGTCTTCTGTGGATCTACCGCAACTCCTTGGGAGGAGACTACATGTCCCAAGTAGTGTACCTTTCCTTGACACAGATTACATTTTTTGGGGCTAAGTTTCAAACCAGAGCTCCCTAGTCGCTTGAAAACTTCTTCCAAATTCTTCAGATGATCGTCAAAGGATTTCCCAACCAGTATGATGTCATCCAGGTACACTAAACAGGTAGTCCAGGATAGTCCCTTTAACACAGACTCCATTAGTCTTTCGAAGGTAGCTGGCGCGTTGCACAATCCAAAAGGCATGACGGTAAATTGCCACAGTCCGGAGCCCACCGAGAACGCTGTCTTCTCTCTGTCTTTCGGCGCCATGTCGACTTGCCAATATCCACTCTTCAGATCTAACGTAGAGAATATCGTTGACCCCGCCAGCGTGTCTAGAGTATCGTCTATCCTCGGCAGGGGATAACTATCCTTCTTGGTAACATTATTGAGCTGCCGATAATCAACACAGAACCTGGTGGTACCGTCTTTCTTCTTTACTAGTACTACCGGCGATGTCCACGGGCTGTTAGATGGTTCGATGACACCCTCTTCTTTCATTTCTCGAAGGATTTTATCAGCTTCTTCACGTTTGGCGAGCGGAAGTCTTCTCGGATTTTGTTTGATTGGTCGTGCATCTCCGGTATCAATTTTGTGTTGTACTAAATTGGTACGACCTCTCTGTCCTGCTTCTCCTTTATCAAACACATCTTGATACTTGATTATCAGGTTTCTCAATTTTCTTCTATTTTCGGGAGATAATCCTTTAACGTTTACTAACTCCTTCACCATTTTGTCCGGAATTTTTGAAGTCGAAACTTTGGAGGCTTCCACGCTTCGAATGACTGAGGAGACCGAACAACAGTACCCTAAAAGGGTTCCCTTCTTCAAGGATACAGAATAATAATTTGTGTTCATTACTCTCGCCGGTACAGTTTTCTTCGCTCGTAGCAGGGCTTTTCCAACAGCGATCCCCCGTCCTATTTCGCTGTCATGGTTCCTTGGCTCCAACAGAATAATACTCCCATTATTCATTTTATCTTCCAGGCAACCATCCAAAAATATCTCACAGCGCTCAGGGATCGAAACATCTTCTGCTACCACCACGCGAAGCGTCTCCTCACATTTTCGATGTAGAACCACTTCTTCTTCATTTATTTTCAAAATTCCCTGTTTGAAGTTTAGTTCAAAACCTCTAGTGGCCATGATGTCCATTCCGAGAATAAGTTCATCTTCGATATCTGCTACTACCACTGGATGTTCAAAACTGGTGCTCCCAATAACAAAATTAAGGTTTACTTCTCCATGGACAGCAGCAGAGCCCCCCGTAGCAGTACGTAGTCGCCATTGTGTTGTTTTAACCTTCTTCGATGTTTTAAGAATGTCCGGTCTGATAATAGTTTTCGTCGCTCCTGTATCCAACAGCATAGTCCGGAACTCTCCATCAACAAAACCATCCACAAACATGCTGTTGAATTTGTGTTGTAGCGAGGCGACTCGAGCAGTTTTCGTTGGGGCATGTTGGGTACAGGTCGACGTGTGCCCCTTCATTTCGACCCTTAGTAGTTTTCCGACCTCGACGAAGCCGGTTCTTCGTTCTTCTCCTTACAACGGCTTCGCACGTGTCCTACCTGTCCGCAGTTCCAGCAATGAATCGGTCCCTTCTTGCCCATGTACTGGTCCATTATCTTCCGAATAATCCCTTCCACGGATTCGTCAGAACATTCGTCGATGGCCCGTACTCTTCCTAAAGACCGAGAACTTTGTTTCGCGGCCTCAAATTCTAGGGCACGTGCTAAAGCATCCACCAAGTGCGTTGGGTGGGCTAGGAGAAGTGCTTGTCTTGTCTCGTTGTCACGTAAGTCGTCGGAGAATGCCTGTACTGCCAACCGCTCCATAACATTCTCTGGCGTAGCAGGGTACGCAAGGCGAACGAGGCGGGCTACGTCGGCTTCAAACTCCTGCAGAGACTCATTTGACTTTTGAATGCGATTTTTTAGCTGGGAATGACATGTTCCAAATGAGCTTGGCCGTACCTCATTTCTAAATGTCGTACCAATTGCTGATAATCTCCCTGTTCCGATGGTGACAATGTCTGCAGAATATCAGTCGCATCTCCTCGCAGTGCGACAGTCAAAGCGGTAGCCTTTTCAGCGATTGTCCATCCGTTCGCTCTCGCAACGGCCTCAAACTGGCAAAAATAATTGGCCCAAGCGGTCTTTCCGTCAAACTGTGGAGGCTTAATAACTGACTTTGAGATATACTTATTTTCGACTAGTTTCGGTGCCTCCGATGTTTCTTGCATTTTGGTGAATTTGACTTCGCTATTTCTTCTCTTAAAATTTCGATTTTTCTATTTACATCTTCCTCAATCTCTGTTATTTTGTCTTGTGTATCTGTTATCTTTTCTTCTAATTCCCTGGAATTTTCTGTTATCTATTCTTCTAAATTAAGTATTTTATTATTAAAGCTGGCCTGTATGTCTTTAGAATTTTCTGCGATCTTATCTTCTAAAATATTAATTAAATCCTGGGAATTTTCCATAATCTTATCTTTCAAACTGTCTTCTAAGTTAATTATTTTACTATTCAAATTGCCGTTTAAATTGTCTTGCAATTCCCGGGAATTTTCTGTAATTTTGTCATTCAAACTGTCTTCTAATTTTTGTAGGCATGAGTCAAGGTCACCTTCCAACTCAAAGCAAAATGTGTCAGGATCCTCACCTTCCTCAATCAAAACGTCTCTCAGTCTGGCTTGCAAAATGCTTTTCTTTCCATCTGTCTCGCATTCCCTCTCTTTCAGTATGCATTTTAATTCCAACACTTTCAGGTCTTTCAATTTTTTTGGAGCCATCGTTAGTCTTTTTATTTTTCTAGTCTATACACACGCCACACTTGACACCAATTGTTACGTTTTTCGTCGGTTCCGTGTGGATAGAAAGTCACAATTTATTTAAACACTATTTATTTAACACTAATTAACAAAAACAATAACGATAAAAGACTTATAGAACTATTTACAAACGATTTATAACTAAGAATTTATTTTGAATTTTAGCGCGTCAACTGTACTGTTTATTTATAACTGCCCCTGTAGGCCACAGCCGCCGGCTTTTATACCGACAGGTAAAGAACTCTAGAATAGTCCATAGATCGTTAGGTGCGTAGAGAAGGTTTTCGAATGTTCTCGTATGTACTAGTACATTCCAGTGGGACTCGATTCTTCTCGAACGAATGAATCATTACGGTGTCTATTCTTTAATGCGATGTTAAGGTCATCTGAGGGCGGGACATATAGTTAGGTTAGGTCGAGTCCACACGGGTCCGCAACACTATGAACATATGTCCAGAAATGATTCGTTTCTTAGATACAGGGTGTTGAAAGTGAAAAATGTCATATTTGTTTTCGATCGAAAAAACGGCACACCTCTGCTTTTTCTAGAATAAAAATTATATTCATAATCTCCGACTAGTTTCTAACAAAAACGGCCTCTCCACAATTTTCTGTTCGACAGAAGGTTTTTGCGTAAAAAAATAACATAACCCCATCCTATCTACATGACCTCTGCATCTTTAGGAATGCAGATAATTTTATTTTATTTTCTCACGCAAAAACCGTTCGTCGGACAGAAAAATGTCAAGAGGCCGTTTTTGTTAGAAACTGGTCAGTGATTATGAAAATAATTTATGTTCTAAAAAAAGCAGTGGCGTACCCTTTTTTCAATCATATACAAATATGACATTTTTATTTTCAACACCCTGTATCTAAGAAACGATACATTTCCGGACCTATGTTCATAGGAACATTTTTGCTTCATTTCATCCAAGGAATACGTCCCTGAATTTTGTGGTAATATTAAAAAACACCCTGTATATTGGGGATATTTTTTTTTATTGTTTTCTGGTAATACTGTTAGATTTGTGTTTAATTGGCCACTATTTGAATTCACTAATACTTACTATTAATAATGAGCATGCAATAATAACTTTGTCGGAATTTAATAAGAACATTTATGTCCACCTAGAACAGATAAAATGACCACTGTGCACCGGCGGAGAATGAACCAAGCCTATGTTCACGTAGATTACAATTTACAATGATTTCCAATTAAACTTACCAGAATTATCAAGTCCAGCCTTTGTGGACACTTCCAGAGCCAAATTCCACTGTTCTGTTTCCAATAATTTATCAGTCAGTCGTCTTATCGATATGGCATCTACGAAAGGAGATTCTCCAATGACTGGAAGAAGCTGCAAACAACCCCTTTCAGCTAATAATTCCAATAAAGAAGCCTGATTCATTATTGTATCTGCTATAGAAGATCCATACTGTAGACTAGTATCCAGAGAGGCCATTTTCACAGCTACAGCTAAGGACTTTAACATCCTTATAACCAGCAAGTAATCTATCTCCCTAGTGAGCTCATTACTTGGCATGAGCAACTTTAACAAAACCTCACATTGCTCTAGTAAAAATTTAGAGTATTCTTCGGTTTTTGAGTGAAATTTCATTAAGGAAAGGAACAGGGAGACGCTGGGAGCGAATTCATAAGAAAACTCCTCTCTTACTATCCTGTTATGTTCTGGATCATCTGTCAGTATCCAGAAGTCATCAATAAGTGACCAGGAAGACCGGTTATCCTCGCTTACAGACTGATCTTTAAAGGTCTCGTGGAAACAATCCAAACAGACTCTAACCAGAATATCTCCGTAGTTATGAACGATCATTCGTTTTTTTGAACAAGCGCTACAGACGACTCTACCGCAACGTCTACAATGATGTCTTCTGTTGAACATCGAAAACAGGACATTAGAACAGCACATGCATTCGGTTACTTCCGTATTTTGAACCCATTCTTGTTTGGTAGGTACATCTTCTGGCATAACAAAACTTCTGTGAGGAGTATCTCCTGCGAAAGAGCTTGAAGATTTGAGACTCCCAGCTTCAGAAGGTTTAAGTTTAGTCACTAAATGTGTGACAACACGAAAATCTAGACTTTTTCTAGCGTAATGCCTCAATAACTCGTCGATGCTCTCAACAGAAACACTACAATCGTCCGAATCACAAACAGGGATCAGATCAGTGATCAGTTTAAGAACTGCACCTAACCTGTCTAGCTTCGTGTTCATTACTAGACCCTCTATAATGCTTAAAGGATCATTTAACAAAGCCAACAAGTGTTGAGCGTGTTCATTTGGTGGAAAGGCGGAAAGAATTTTCAAACTTAAAGATATGTTGCTCAAATGTCTATCTTCAGAGATAGTGGACAAGACGTTCGCGATAAACTGCAAGTGGTCGACGTTTTTCAGAGTATTTAAGAATTCTTTGCAGACAGCGATGCAGTGAGGTTGTGGGAGAATTTTTAAGAGCGACTCGACAGAATTTAGGTTGTCTTCGATTTCAAAGGTTTGTGCTAGGAATTGTGCGTCGACGCAAAGGAGCATCGTGTTGCTGACTTCGTGGAGATCGATGACTTCGATGAGTAAATCGATCTGAAATAATAAGATAAATTAAAAATTTCTTGTCCCTTTGTGATAATAGTCTTATTAATTACAGATACCGGGTGCGTCTCAAAAGTGGCTCACCCCTATAACTTTTTTATTTTTACAGTTAAAAAAACGAGATTCAGAATGTTAGTATATGACATAAATTAGGATAGATTGACGTATTCAACTGTTTTCAGTCACTTCCTGTTTCACCGGAAATGACTACAACTTTTGATTTTTAAATGGCACCCTCGGTACTTTTTTACTTTATTGGATAGAAAATAACACTCTGAATAGAATGACATATCATATGTCAACTTTTGACATTTTCGCATATGGTTTTTTTGAAATTATAACTTGCGGTTCGTAACAAAAATTTGACTCGAAATACCAAGTGTGTGGTACTAAATTATAGGCAAAAAAATGCTTTTTCCAAATATGCTAATGAGCCACTCTCGTTCCATTTTTGAAACAATTGAGATATCATTAAAAACACGATTTGAGCATTTTCTAACTGGCCAGTACAAGATACTAAAAACATTAGACAATCAAATCTATTTTTCCAAGGCTCCTTGATTAATAATTAGTGTTTTTAACATAACCATGAATAATCATTGTAATCTAGATTGAATTTTAAAATTTAATTTTGTTTTAAGCGAGAATGTCAAAAGTTGACATATGATATATCATTCTATTCAGAATGTCATTTCTATCGAATAAAGTAAAAAATACCGAGGGTGCCATTTAAATATCAAAAGTTGTATTCATTTCCGATGAAACCGGAAGTGACCAAAAACAATTGAATACGTCAATCAATCCTAATTTATGTCATATACTAAGATACCAAATCTCGTTTTTTTATCTGAAAAAATAAAAAAGTTATAGGGGTGAGCCACTTTTGAGACGCACCCGGTATACTGAAACTTAAATATTGTCAAGGTCAAGGTGTATGTAGCGCTAAAATGTATTACTGGTTGCCTACACAACCGCAACGTGTCAAGAAAAATGGCGCATCCGCCAGAAAGTAAAAGACATTTTTAGGCGCCATCTCTTAATCAAGTCGACAAGTAAGCGAATCAGACAATGGAATTGTCCAGTATGAAGTAGAACGCTCTCCGAGAATTGTAGAAGTTTCGAGAAGCAGTCAATAGCGTATATAAGCCGTCGTAACCGGCAGTTGGGACAGTTTGAAAAGTTTGAATATACCGCGGTTTAAATTATTACGAATCGGACAATTTGGCGAAGGAATTTTATAAGTAGTTAATTGTGTGTTATTACTATAAATAGTTTTAATCAATTAAAAATATTTTATCGTGAGTTTAAATTAGTGGACCCACGGAATCCGTAACAATATATAGTCGATAAAAATAAATTATGAAAATAACAGTTTAAGATCAGATAAAAAATGTGATATTGGTCGCATTATGCCAAAGTGTTTATCAGAGCAAGTATTATTATACTAAAAAGGTTGATTGGTAATTACTGAACCAATCAGGATACTGTATACAGAATGTCCTAATATTTCGTAGACATAGAACTACTACGTATTTTTGGAATCAAAATAAGTTCATTGGACACAATTTACCTCTATGCAAAAAGTGCTTTGTTTGTTCGCTAGAGGGCATCAAACTTTAAAAAAATAAACACATAATGCAATAAATACTAGAAGGACCATTTTATAAAAAACATGGTCGTCGGTTGTCATATTATCAAGAAATTATGTTTTTTGACTAAAAACTGAAAAATTTCCCAAACATTTTTAAAAAAGTTCCGATTTTCCAAACATTTTTTTTCGCGAAAAAAACCTCATAGGCGTGTTTCTCGTGTTGAACTATACTACCAGTTAAAATACTTTTATTTCTGTATATTCCATGGGTATAGTGATAAATGAGGTCTAAATTATAAGAAAAAGCATTTTTAACGAAAACTTGAACAGATCGATAAAAAAATGATATAATACAATTTGATAGACAATTAAATTATGTATCGATTCACTTACAATATACAGAGTGTTCTATTTAAATTAAACAAGTTATTGCCGTTTAAAGCTAGTAATTATTAAATAAAAATTTTTGGACACTCTCTATAAAGTAGTGTAATTTTTATTATTGCAACACAATATCTGATCAATAAATAATCTTCAGTAAATATTTAGTATTAAAAACTTTGGTATAGTCTATAAAATTAATAACTTTGAATTTTGACCGTTATTTTTTACCAACATGGCAAATATAAAATCCCTCTATCAAGAAAGTTACTGATATTCTTTAAATTGAGTGCCTGAACGAATCAGATAGGTAACTCTTTTTACTTTCGTGAAATAGAAAAGGAAAATAATAAAACAAGTGACAGTTCTTCCTCTTCTTGCAAAAATCAATACGAAATGTCATAATTGACAAAAGTAAAATGTCATCAGCTTTTGACATTTCTAAATATTAGACCATTGCCGTCTCTAATAGAACAGCGACGAGGCGAGATTTATGACGTCATGCTAGTTAGATACTACGGATTAATAAATATGTTGTAGAATACATTAAAAACAATTATTCCTCGTATTTTTGGTTTGTATTTTAAAAATGATATAGTTTACATGAAATATACACAATATACAGTTAATAAATACAATATAATATATACCTATTTATAGTTATAAATACTTTGGCAAATAAACTATGAACCATACAAATGCAGCAAATGTTTTACAATATACAAATAATGAATAGGTGGTACATAAGATAATGAGTAAAATGTAAAATATATTTTAAATTTTGGGTTTTGAAAATCGATCTAATTTAACATAAAATTAAAAATATTCAATATCTACTAATAGTGATGTATTATTATTTGCATTCACAAAATTTATTTATATATTATAATGTTTACTGCAATTAATAAACTAATATAAACTTGTCAAAAGATGACCACATATTTTTTTAAATTATTATTCTTAACACAAAAACTATCTACATTGACTATGGAGTACGATTTCAGCCATATTGTAAAATATTTGCTGCCTTTGTATGGTTCATAGTTTATCTGCCAAAGTATTTATTACTATAAATAGGTATATATATATATATATATATATATATATATATATATATATATATATATATATATATATATATATATATGTATATATATATATATATATATATATATATATATATATATATATATATATATATATATATATATATATATATATATATATATATATATATATATATATATATATATATATATATATATATATATATATATATATTATTTATTAACTGTATATTATGTATATTTCATGTAAACTATATCATTTTTAAAATACAAACCAAAAATACGAGGAATAATTATGTTTTCCATGTATTCTACAACATATTTATTAATCCGTAGTATCTAACTAGCGTGAGTCATAAATCTCGCCTTGTGGCTGTTCTATTAGAGACGGCATTGCGTCAGCATGGCCGCAAGTTGCTAACCTAATAAAATTAACACTAGAAAAGCCCGCGGGAACTGTCAAATTCAAAGTTATTCGTTTTACAGACTATACCCTGGAAAAACGAAGCCTTAATTTTTTTACTGCAATTTCACTAAATTGAAAATATTTCAAAAACGGTAAGTGTGATAAACCATAATCATATTTACCTTAATAATATACAGGGTGTTCCATTTAAAAAAAATATAACTATAATATTTTTACTTATTTGGGACACTCTGTATCTTGTAAAATTATTTATAAATTGTAGCTCTAATAGTCATTCATTGGATACCACCTGGTAAACGAACGAGAGGACGTCCCAAGAAAACATGGATGGAAGGAATAAGAAGGTCCATGAGCGAGAGAAATCTGACCGAAGATCAATGGAAAAATCGCACAGGGTGGAAGTTAAGCATCGGACAACGTCGTAGGACGTTGTGACCCGAACTTATATATACAGGGTGCTACAAATTCGAGGTACGAGCATTGGTATCTCGGTAACCTTTAATTATATTTAAAATAATTTCAAATCCGACTCTGGTTTCTTAAATTATTTAATCTGATTATATTCATCGCAACAATATTGACCAGCGCTAATAACGTTGAATAAGGAAAATCGAGCCAATTGGAAGATTCAATTAAGGTCAGAAATTTAAAGATATTATTTTTAACTTTTTTTATTGTGAATTTGAAATCTCAGTGTGCGACCTAATAATATGCATAATATTAATCGTAGTTATTATAAATAAATCAACTTCTACAAACTAGTTTCTAATGTTCTACATGTTCGTAAGCGTTACCACCCCCCCCCCCTACTGCACAAATTTATTTTTCGTTCAATTTTATTTATAGCTCTTTGAACTTTCTTCTTATACTTCCGAATACATTTTGTACTCTTTATTGTAAATGTTGAGATGAATTCATTTCACTTTTACAAATGACGTCAAGTAATGTAGCCCCTTGGCGATAGGTACAGGAACCTGGCAGGACATTATACTTGGAAATGGTAGAGCATTATCTGTGATATTACTCTACTATTTCCAGTCCATCTTCCGGGGAAATAATTTGATTGTTTATATTTTATTTATATTAATTATTTTATTGCATTTGATTTTACGTATTCAATGTTTTACCCCACGTCATTGTTAAGTTTGAATGCTAATCAATATTGTAACCATGAATAGACTAAATATTTAAAAAAAACAGAGCCGGACTTGAAATTAGTTTAAATAAATTGTGTTCAAATGTCAAAACAAAAAAAATATTAAGTGTGGCATATCATTGTACTCAGTACTCAGTTGTAATCAGAGTTCTTTCAAAATCTGAAATAAAAATTGCAGGTCCGTATTTAAAAAAATTAAGTTGGCCTCTAAATCTCAGAAATTATCAGCTAATTTGAAAATCTAAAAATACTATCAGATAGCCCTAAAAAAGTGGCTATGAGAATTGCAATTAGTTTTTCGATTTTCTAAAAAGTAACGACAGGAAAAAATAAAATTGATTTTTTAAAAAATCATTTTTTTCCAAAAAACTCAGCAATCCTTGAAATTTTTAAAACTTTTTTGATGGCATCTTGGTGAACATCCCAAAGCGCAACTTTGCCCCAATTTAACCATGTTTGTATCTGTTACGGTTACCGAGATACCAATGCTCGTACCTCGAATTTGTAGCACCCTGTATATAGCTCTAATAGTCCTTCAACGAACCCAAAACTTACAATTTATAAAAATCTAACGGTTTAGCTACAATACTCCGAGTCATATGTCGTGAACAACTCTGTATAAGGGGCAATGTATAAAAAATATTAATAAAAATACTCACCTTTTGTGCAATAAGCAACTTCGTAATAACTCTGGTCGGTTCAAACGCACACATATTATACATATCTGACCATGCCGTGATTCCCAACACCTCCATCACCATCATACTATGCTCTATATGCTTCAACCAAGCCTTCAGTTCCTCAATCTTCTCATCTTCGATAACATCAAATCGAGATATTTCATCTTTAATACACTTCACGCAAAAATCCATAGGCCAAGTTTTCATATTATCCAACAACAAATTGATTCTAATATCTCTGTCTTTTATATACAGTACGTTTTTGTAGTACTCACACTCAAAAGCGTCTGTTACTAACTTCGCTAACAACATATCTCTTAACTCCGAAAATCTTTGTTCTTTATAATTTTGACGTTCAGGGATACTATCGATCATATCAGCAAGTCTTTTCCATACTGACGTCACCCCTTCCTCCGAAATCTCTTCAGCAGCTTCAAAACTCTGATTGGTAAAAGTCGATGAGGTGAAGTCGTGCCTTCCCATCTCTGAATCAACGAAATCTTTCACTTTTTTGTAAGGAATATCATTCTGTAGCACAGTAAGAATCTCGCTGTCATTATACATGCACTTCAAGTGCTCAATCCTAGGTAGTCTGAGATAGTTCAGTAGATTCTGTATTCTAGTCTCGTTGACATCTACTTCAACGCCTTCTACGTGGTACATTTCGTTTAAAATCAAAGCCAGAAGTCTGTTCCTTTTTAAAATGTACGCTATAACAGCTTTATTAGGCGTATATAGAAAATTCTCGTGGTATAATTCGTCTTCATCAATATCCTCCTCCATGTGGAGGTTAATGGTTGGAAAACAGTTGCCTGTAACGTGATACAGGAAATCCAACTTCAGCTTCTTGAAATACTTCTCAAACTCTATAGGGTCTAAGTTTAATTCAAATAAAAGCTTCCCCATAAGCTCTGAGCGATTGTATGTGAGTAATTCAAAAAAAGAAGTGTTTTTGTTATTGGAAATTAAGTTTGATGTATCGGACTCAATGTACAAAACTTCAGAGAAGGCTTTCAAATAATTGAAAAGCTTCTGAAGGTATTTTACTGAACCAGGATCTTGACAACAGAGTTTGCTGATATGTAATAAAATTTGATGACTAAGATGGTTTTTGTTAAACACTCCATCTTCGTCTATTGTTAAAGCATTGCAAAATTTCGTGTATAACGTCTCTAATTCTATATAAAACTCTAGTTGTTCCTTGTGTTTTTCTACATCTAAACTTATACTACTATTTAAAAGAATATCCGAGGCTGAATATTTATTGCAAGGACCAATTTCATCAAACAATAGCTTCAAAGATCTACCAAAACGCGAAAAATGAGATTCAGTTTCACTGAGGCTGTTATATTTCGAGGCAAGGTTGAACAGCGAAGCTGTATCTTCAAAAAATGAAGACTGAGTGATCGCTAGGTCCAAGACGTTTAAAAAGACACTTTTTTCAGAACGGTAGTGTTCCAAAAATGGATAAATATCTCGGTTTTGTTGGATGATTTTGTCAGAATCTTCGTCTGGGATGGTGGGGTGTTTTTGAAGGAACTTTTTGACGATTTCTTCATAGTTGAATTTGGGACTGTGTTTGTCGACGTCAGGCATTAATTTGATTTTGGCGGTTCTCTTTAGGTTGATTTTTAACTCTTCGAGAAGGCCTGCGTAGTAAATTTTCTGCGCCAAAGGTGTCTCTGTTAAATTGAAGATCTGTAAAAAAATAAATATATAGGTGTACAGGGTGGACCATTTTGGTTGTTTCTATAGGGTATTTAGGAAACCGTGAGAAATATTCAAATTTTGATACTGCAGTCTCGGGTTCTTTTTTTGAAAAAATTACAATGACGCAAACGGATCGTGGCTATCTTGATCGGTTTCGAAGCTACAGGGGGGTTCTCAAATTTTGTACTTTTTGAAGATGTTCGAAAGTTTGTTTATTTCAGCATCCACGGAAAAATGAATTATACATTCTAAAGGCACTTTTCTGTGTAGAATGCAGTGGCGTATTCAGACTTTTTTCGAAAAAAATATTTTTTGAGATATTAACTATACTTATGTTTTTTTAAATAGAACCCCCTGTATATTTTTAAATGTTCTTATTTAGCTTGGCATGGGCTTCTCGAAAATATATAACACTCTATATTTATTTTCACTATTAACCTCAACATTTCAAATTTTTCTTGAAATATCCACTTAGCGGATAGTAGGCCCCGCCGAGGAACAAAGTAAACGGTTGACATGGTGATCGGAACATACCTATGATGGATGCGGGACATTTCATTTCAACAGATTCAAGTGTGTGTATTTTAAATAATAAAAAAATGAGTATGATGAAAAATGAATATTGATTTTCTTCATCTTCTTTCTGATAATTTTTAAATGAAAAAATTACAATGGCGCAAACGGATCGTGGCTATCTTGATCGGTTTCGAAGCTACAGGGGGATTCTCAAATTTTATACTTTTTGAAGATGTTCGATAGTTTTGTTTATTAAAGCAACCACGGAAAAATGAATTATACATTCTATGATAATAATATTATTCATTCTGCAGTGGCGTAGTCAGACTTTTTTCGAAAAAAATATTTTTTGAGATATTAACTATACTTATGTTTTTTTAAATATCTATGTACATCTTTAAATTTTCATATTCAGCTTGGCATGGGCTTCTCGAGAATATATAACACTCTATATTTATTTTCACTATTAACCTCAACATTTCAATTTTTTCTTAAAATATCCACTTAGTGGATAGTAGGCCGCGCCGAGGAACAAAGTAAACGGTTGTCATGGTGATCGGAACATACCTTTGATGGATGCGGGACATTTCATTTCACCAGATTGATGTATTTTAAATAATAAAAAAATGAGTAAATTTGAAAATTTTGAGAAATATAATATGTTAGCATGTTATATTGAGTCTAACAAACATAAGCAAATGGCAGCTGATTTATATTTTGAGCGGTATCCAGAGCGCGAGCAACCAAACCCAGCCATTTTTAAAAGGTTAGAAGACAGTTTAATCAATTTTGGATCTTTTCAAAAACCGCGTCCTAAAAAATTATCAGAAAGAAGATGAAGAAAATCAATATTCATTTTTCATCATACTCATTTTTTTATTATTTAAAATACACACACTTCAATCTGTTGAGATGAAATGTCCCGCATCCATCAAAGGTATGTTCCGATCACCATGTCAACCGTTTACTTTGTTCCTCGGCGCGGCCTACTATCCACTAAGTGGATATTTCAAGAAAAATTTGAAATGTTGAGGTTAATAGTGAAAATAAATATAGAGTGTTATATATTTTCGAGAAGCCCATGCCAAGCTAAATAAGAACATTTAAAAATATACAGGGGGTTCTATTTAAAAAAACATAAGTATAGTTAATATCTCAAAAAATATTTTTTTCGAAAAAAGTCTGACTACGCCACTGCATTCTACACAGAAAAGTGCCTTTAGAATGTATAATGCATTTTCCGTGGATGCTGGATGAATAAACAATGAATAAACAAACTTTCGAACATCTTCAAAAAGTACAAAATTTGAGAATCCCCCTGTAGCTTCGAAACCGATCAAGATAGCCACGATCCGTTTGCGCCATTGTAATTTTTTCAAAAAAAGAACCCGAGACTGCAGTATCAAAATTTGAATATTTCTCACGGTTTCCTAGATACCCTATAGAAACAACCAAAATGGTCCACCCTGTACAGGGTGGGTCAAATTCGGCGCTTTTAAATGGAAACACCCTTTTCTATAGGAGATAGACAAAAACTAATATCGGTGTCTGGAGCTCAATTTTTGTCAAAAATATGATGGTGAAAACCACATATCGATATCTGTTACCGTTTCGGAGTTACGGGGTATTTTTCAAAAATATACATTTTTAACAAATCGCTGTAACTTTTTTGCTATGGAAAATTTTGTATTTTTATGAAAACATTTCCAAAGCACCTTTTTACGTAGAATTTAACGGTTTAAGTATAATTTTTTTAAAATTAATAATTTAAGAATTATCAACACAAAATTTGATTTTTTATATGGGACACCCTGTATATTTTTAATTTATTGAAAAGAATTTAAAATTACCTTTCCAAAAATATAACACACTTGATATTTTGCTCTATTCCTCTTCGAGATATAGAATGTATAAAAATTCGTCCGCTTTAAATAAGTAGGCTTTGAACGGCACCGGCTGTATTGCAAATAAATTATAGCTGTGAGCATCAAAAGCGAAAATAATATTTTCTATGAGAGATGCAGAATTTAGAACAATATAAAATATATTTAACTAACATCAACACATTTAAACTATATCTAATATCAATAAAAATAAATAGCAAACCAAGATATGAGATTTTGCTACAGGTTTTCGACATATCGACCGTCTTCTGTTATGGACAGACGGGGCAGTTTTTGGATATTTCTCGCGGAATTCATTAATTTATTGGGGGTGAAAGATACCCTTTCATAACTGCTAAGTTGTCTAGATTATACGGAACAATAAGGAACCTTTATTTTTCCGCCAATATATCCATAGGATTAGATCCATGGGCACTAAGTCAGGCAGCCTCGGCGGCCAACGGCTGGGATCTTGGTTAGCTATTCAATTATTCTTGAAATTGGCTGCAAAAATTTGCTAATAACTTCAGCGTTCAGAGGCGGTGCGTCGTCTTGCTGGAAAATATGTTTTCGAGTTCTATTAAGGGCATATCATCAATAAGGGGTCCAAAGCATACTAGTTAAAAGTGGCGAACTTTTAAAAATTCTGTATTTCGAAGGGGATTATTTTTTTTAAACCAAGACATGAGATTTTGCTACAGGTGTTCGACATATCGACCGTCTTCTGTTATGAACAGACGGGGCAGTTTTTGGATATTTCTCGCGGAATTCATTAATTCATTGGGGGTGAAAGATACCCTCTCATAACTGCTAAGTATTTCTAATTCTTATCTAGATTATACGGAAGAATAAGGAACCATTATTCTTCAGCAAATATATCCATAGGATTAGATCCATGGGCACTAAGTCAGGCGGCCTCGACGGCCTACGGCTGGGTTCTTGGTTAGCTATTCAATTATTCTTGAATGTTTTCTAGTTCCAATAAGGGCATATCATCAATAAGGGGTCCAAAGCCTACTAGTTAAAAGTGGCGAATTTTTAAAAATTCTGTATTTCGAAAGGGATTATAACAAAATATCAAGTGTGCTATATTTTTGGAAAGGTAATTTTAAATTCTTTTCTGTTAATTAAAAATATAGAGGGTGTCCCAAATAAAAAATCAATTTTTCTGTTGATAACTCTTAAAATATTAATTTAAAAAAAATTACACTTAAAACATTAAATTCTACGTAAAAAGGTGCTTTGGAAATGTTTTCATAGAAATACAAAATTTTCAATAGCAAAAAAGTTACAGCGATTTGTAAAAAATGCACATTTTTGAAAAAGACCCCGTAACTCCAAAACGCTAACAGATATTGATGCGGGGTTTTCACCATCATGTTTTTGATAAAAATTGAGCTCAGACACCGATATTAGTTTTCGTCTATCTTCTATAGAAAAGGGTGTTTCCATTTAAAAGCATCGAATTTGACCCACCCTGTACAGGATGTCCCAGGCTGAGCGTTCATTAGAAGTTTCTAGAGAACTACAATATCTAGATCAGAGAGTTTTTGCACATCATTTTTTCACGAGACCTATCGATTAAAAATATTTTCAATATGATGGCACTTCCGGAAATACAGGAAATTGACAGTAACTTTCTTATTTTAAATAGGTGCCCCCATTTTTTATTACATACTTAAATTCTCTGTAAAATTTTATGAATTTTGATATTAAACACTCTATACCTAACATTCACCGTTTTTGAGAAAAAAATATTTAAAATTTTTGGACAAAAAAAACTGCCTGTCAAAAATATGTATATAGCCTAAACATCAAATTTTGTGATTACCACAGCCACTGTGCCATAAAGAAAAGGCATGTGGCTATCTATTTCATAAATGAAATTGTTCGAATGTCATATTATAATAGTGACCGCAGCTGTCATGGAATTGAGCGATTAAAAAATTATCATGAATCATTTTTTTGAAGTGGAAACCCACATTTTTTATTTCACTATTGAAAAGGCTTTTCATTTCGTTAATTTTTAACCATATATGTTTCTATACCTCAAAAATAAATTGTTTTTAAGTTATTTAAGATTTAGTTTTAAAGCGTATGTTTTTCTTGGTTTTAACCAGTAGCCTATGACTTTAAACGTCAAGTGATGTAAAACAATAGAACTAGCCATGTCATATTGCGATGCTTTGTTCAAAAAGCAGTATGTTATCGATCACCATTTCCAATTCAACTTTGCGCTGTTTTTTTTTTCGATCATCCGTTATATTATTAATAATATCAACTAAAATACGCGTTATATTTTTATAAATACACTTTTTAAACTCTTACGCACGCAGAATTTATTATAGGAAATTCAAATAATTTGTTTTGTTTTCTGACAGATGGAAATAAATTGTCTCAGTGTTTGACACTTAATGTCAAAGAGAGCTAGATAAAAATCAAGAAAAATATACGTTTTCAAACTAAATTTTAAATAACTTAAAAACGATTTATTTTAGGTATAGGAACATGTATACTCAGAAAGTAACGAATTAAAAAACCTTTTCACTAGTGAAATAAAAAAGTGGGTTTCCATTTGAAAAAAATGATTTATGGGAATTTTTAAATCGCTCAATTCCATGACAGCCACCGCCATTATTATATGACATTTGAACAATTTAATTTTCGAAATAGATAGCCACATGTCTTCTCTTTGTCTCACAGTGGCTGTGGTAATCATTAAATTTGACTTTTTCGGCTATACACTACTAGTTTTTATCGTCCAAATATTTTTTTTTCTCAAAAACGGTTAATGTTAGGTATAGAGTCTTTAACATCAATATTCATAGAATTTTACATACAGGGTGGCCCATCGAAAACGTTCCGCAAGGCTTAACGGCCAGGGTATTCTTTTTTTCAAAAAATCCAAAAACACGTCAATTTTGTTTGTGAGGGGGACAACTTTTGCCCCAAAAATGATTGCAAAATCTTCAACCCTCTGAGCGGGGGTGTCATCCCCCAGCTTTTTTCAAATGGAAAGGGGGTCAAGTGGCGCCGCAATGAAAAGAGCTTTCTATTCTCTATACGTTCCCGCTTCGTTTTTGAAAATCGGTCGAGTCATTGAGAAAATATGAAGGATTGAAATTTGAAAAGTTTACTTAAACATTTATCAGAGTAAATGATAAGGGTAAATTCCTTCGACCAATTTGCTGTTTTTTTTCTTATTATTTCTAGATGTTTACGCATTTTTTCACTTGCCACAAGGTTGAACGATCAGGTGCGGTAGTTGCTAGATAGCTGTTCTGTGAGTTGTACGTTGAAGTTCTTCTCAATATCGTTAAACTGACCCACAATAGAATTTCCAAAAATACCAACCCATGCGTTCAATTTCTGAGGGTTTTGTGTGTGTACCTCGTGAAAAACTCTGGGGCGCTATTCTGTAAAATCGTCGGTATCGGTAAGTTACGATAGCTCTCGATACGTATTTGTATATAGTAAAAATGTGTTAATTGTTGTTGTCATAGTAACCGATCGGTCCTATGGCAGATATCGCAAATTTGTACCGACAAAAATCGGTATCTCTACCGTGCCCTTGTCAACCTCACGGTAGAGATACCGAGAGTCGTCGGTACAAATTTGCGATATCTGTCATAGGGCCGATCGGTAACTATGACAACAACAATTAATACATATTTACTATATGCAAATACGTACCGATAACCGACGATTTCGACGATTGTACAGAATAGCGCCCTTGGGGTTGTCCACAGCCCAGTACCGACAGTTGTGTCGATTAACTACATCGTTCAAAAAGAAAGTACACTCATCCGAAAAACACACATTAAATAGGAAATTATTATCATTCGCCACTCGTTCACTCATAGTTTCACAATATTGCAAGGGAAGATCAAAATTGTTTTCGTTGAGTTCTGGTACCAACTGAATTTTGTACGGGGGGAACTTTTATTAATATTCTTTGAACATTTGTAGGATTCACTTGGCCCAATACAAATACCGCCATAGCTTCATTTACTACAGGATTTTCCCTCTGCCCAACCTCTGCCTCTTTTATTCATAACGAAACCAGTTTCACAAAATTTTCCTACTAACTCGCGAACAATTTTGCCGTAAAGGTGTTTGTCAGGATGGCGTTCATTGAATATCTGCGCAACCCGATTGCCACATTCATTATTTTTAAAATAAAGTTCGATTATTACCACTTTTTCACTTGAAAGTACACCATAATAATTGTTAAAAAGTTTAACGATATTGAGAAGAACTTCAACGCATAAGTCACTAGATAGCTAGCAACTACCGCACCTGATCGTTCAACCTTGTGGCAAGTGAAAAAATGCGTCTAGAAATAATAAGAAAAAACAGCAAATTGGTCGAAGGAATTTACCCTTATCATTTACTCTGATAAATGTTTAAGTAAACTTTTCAAATTTCAATCCTTCATATTTTCTCAATGACTCGACCGATTTTCAAAAACGAAGCGGGAACGTATAGAGAATAGAAAGCACTTTTCATTGAGGTACCACTTGACCCCCCTTTCCATTTGAAACAAGTTGGGGAATGACATCCCCGCTCAGAGGGTTGAAGATTTTGCAATCATTTTTGGGGGCAAAAGTTGTCCCCCTCACAAACAAAATTGACGTGTTTTTGAATTTTCTGAAAAAAAATTACCCTGGCCGTTATGCCTTGCAGAACGTTTTCGACGGGCCACCCTGTATAATTTAAGTATGTAATAAACAATAGGGGCACCCATTTTAAATAAGAAAGTTGCTGTCAACTTCCGGTATTTCCGGAAGTGCCGCCATATTGAAAATATTTTTAATCAAAAGATCTCGTTGTGAAACAATAATGCGCCAAAAATCTCCGATCTAGATATTGTAGTTCTCTAGAAACTTCTAATGCACGCTCACCCTGGGACACCCTGTATATGATCTAGGATTTTAATATTTTAATAAATTGACAAAAACCTGTCAATTTCGCTGCTTTGGACGTCAAAACATCATCAAAATGTTGCACAAGTTAATTTTCGCGCTTGTTCTGCCGACTATCGGCTGTATATGGCCACCCCAATACAAGATAGAGCTAAAGCACGAAGAAGAATTCGTGATATCAGAGCTATTACAAAAATCTGACGTTGAAGACATTTATGACGAGGAAGAAATGATGAAAGAAGAGGATTTAAAAACTTTTAATTTGCACGAAAACGCTGGAAAATATTTCAGACTGCACAAGCAAACGAAAAAAATAAATGAGAAAGGAACAAAAGATGTTAAAAGGAACGTTGAATTGGAACAGAAGAAAATACAAAGTTTTCCAGAGTTCAACCCAGTCGAAGGCGAAGAAATGCCTTGGATAGGAGGGATGGTTGGTGAAGATAAAGAAATTATCAATGTAAGAATAGATTTCTCTAAGTAAAATTGCCTATTTTATTTTGGTGATATTCACAAACTAATAGTTATTTGTGTAACCAGTGCAAAAAGGACATATTTGTTGCACTACGCATGAGTTTTGCAACTCGTGACGAAGTCGAGAGCTACAATCATGCTGAGTGCAACAAATATGCTTTTTGCACATGTTGCACACAACATTTTTTCTACCATCGAATCGAATTTCTTATTTAAATGTTTATTAAATAGTAAATTACATACCGAGGAGGGAAGTGTTTCATTACTGTCGAGAGATTAACTAAATCTAGAGACAATAATTAAAACTCTCCTCCGTGGTTTTAGCAGAGTACGTAGATCGCCGAGTAGCGACAGAAACCGTCAGCTCTTTTGATGCGGTGGGACCAAATTTTGCATGCCGATTGGTGAAATGTCATATTTATTTATTTTAAAAGTCGTATGCAAAAGGGCAGACGAAAAGATCGTGGCTCAATCAGCTGCAGACAGTTATCAAAAGCGCGATATTACTCTAGCGCTTTATTCAGGGAACGCTGGCCGCCTCATCCATTTAAGTATAGATAAATCATAATATAATATATCTACGATTATATTATAAACATATTTTTTTTATTATTTCAATGACGATTTTTTTGTCTGCCCTTTTGCATACGGTTTTTAAATTAATTAACAATAAACATGACATTCCACCAACCGACATGCATCTATGCGATGATTTTGTTTTGTCAAAATTTTATGGCTCTTTCGCGTTGTCTGCCGGCATTTCAGCCACGAGAAAAATGTCTGTCAACAATTATACACGTTTCCTAATAATAAATAAAAGCTATTTGGCAATTATAACTCGTGTTCCTTATAATGTTTTTAGTGTCAAAATTTCACCCTTTCGATTGGCCGCCCCCGCTTTAAGCCCCGGGATCGCGCTGGCAGACATGACTATTTCACAATGGCTACACAAAAGGACACTTCACACATAAAATTAGCCATGTAACGATGATAAGGTTTTTTATGTAGCCAGCTCTCGGTCTATTTGTATACTATTTTATTTACAACCACATCATTAATTAAAAAATAGGGACAGTATTTTATTTTGAAAAAAAAATAAATATGCGAAAATTTGTCGTTTTCTGTTTTGGCATTTCCATATTTATAGTTACCGGTACCAGTGGTTGTTATGGCGCAAACCTTCAACAGCAAAACAAACAACTAAGTGACAGTTTTGAATTTCTCGTTCGCTTCTTCGAATTTATATAACATAGAAAGCCAGAATGTTGTCGAAAAGTTCTGACAATGAAGACTACTTTAATATTGGGACTCCACCAGAACTTACAGAAGCTGCAAAAAGAGCAGAAGCCAGTTTACTTCCAGAGAAAAGTAGGGGGCGATATGAAATAGCATTGAAAGTATACGAAAAATGGTGTGCTGAAAGAAATGCTAAGAATATTATTGCTTCGGAGACAGTCTTGATGGCATATTTTAGCGACATGGCAAGGCAGAAAAAGCCATCTACTCTTTGGGCTACGTACAGCATGATACGGACAATGCTAGAATTAAGGGAAAAGACAATAATATTGTCTTTTGTGTTATTTTGACATATCAAAATATCAGAAACTCGTCGCTTTTTTAAAACGCCAGAATGTAGGTATTAAGTTTAAGCCAAAGAAGACTAGCATTTTTACCAGTCAAAACTTGGAGGATTTTCTCACGAAAGCACCTCAAGAATTTCTTCCTATTAAAGTAAGTTTGTTTTTAAATGTTTTCTTTTTCTGTTTTTAAATATTTCTTTTCATTGTTTTAGGTTGCGCTTATAGTAGGTGTGTCTGGGATTAAAATCTTCAATTATTATTGTTAATCTTCTTGTTTAATTTTGTTGATGTTAGATAAGTATTTAATAAAGATATTACAAGAATATTTTGCTTAATTAAATGAGGCGAGAAATAAGAAAAACCGAGTGAGGGAAATGAAAGAGGGAAGAAATGTGGATAATTTGACACTTTTAAATTTTTTAAAAGTCAGCCATATGAACTCAAATATACCTTTTTCTAATAGCATCTTTTAAAAAAAACAGGACGACCAAATGGTTTACTTCGATGACGAGGCCAAATCGAACCAAACCAACAGCTTGAAACATCCCAAACGATCTTCCGAAAACGATACAGCCAGTGACGATTATAACTACGATAGTTTAAAGGCCGAATACGAAGACAACGTACGAAAAGCAGAAAATAAAAAAGATACAGCGAAATATAAGGAAGTTAAAGAAGAAGAATCGCCCAAAGAAGCTGCAGAATCGTTGGTTGAGTTCCAGCCTAGGAATTGTACAGAAGAAGAGAAAAAAGGGTTTGGTAATGAGATTATATGTATTATAGTGAAAGTCAGAATTCCAGTAAATGTTAACAATCACTAGGAAATGCTAACAATTAAGTACATATTGGGCCAGTGAGTGTTGCATTTTAAAGACATTTATCGACTTTTACTAGTAATTGTTAGTCATAGATAAATGAAACAAATTTAGATTGAAAAGTGCCCATAAGGATAATGTAAACACTATTTGGCGCTATTCTTGCAACGGTCGTGACCCAAAGCTTTTGAAAATTTCGGAGCGGTTCGGCTTTTTCCGGAATTATATCGCCAAATATTATTTATTCAAATGTATTATTATTTTCTTTCAATTTTATAAATAAAATACAATGTGTTGCATACAAGAAACTTTATTTTGTATAAGGACATGTATGAAATACCTATGAAACATTGGTAACCGACGTTATACCACGATCCACGATGGTTTTTGCAGTTCACAGTTCACAGCACAGCTTTTTAAGTTTTTAATGCCACTTTTTCACAATTATCACGGGTTGGATAGAACTTAAATTAAACTCACAAGATAGCAATAATTACTTTGAAAATGGACGCTACAAACACTCTTCGGAATTTTTTCAATGACAGCGGTTTCGATTTTGAAAGATTTTATAATTTTTGAAGATTCTGACTTTGACGAGAGATATGGACAAGAGAAAAATATTTCTGTTTTTGTTTGGGGTTGTATAAAACCCTTTATAAAACCCAAAATAATTTCGCGTGTCCAAATTTTGACGGGCTTTCCAATCTAAACTTGTTTCATTTATCTATGTTGTTAGTTAATATAATTGACAGTGGCAGGCATATAATGCAGGCAAAAAGGCGCTACCCTTTGAATAAGAAGACTAAGGAAGGAGCATATCAAAAATCTTAGGTACACCGCGATGGGCCTCAAATATGGCCGACTTAAATTCCGGTTTATCATTGTAGTTTAATTTTATTTAAAAAATGTAAAACTATGATGTAGGGTAGACGTGGGGTAGACTCAATAATTTGTTTTATTTTACGTTGTGAATAAATGTTGGTAGTTATTAAAATTGTTATAAAAATATATAATTCTAATAAAAATAGGTAAGTTATAATAAGTATTTATTAACACAAACATCCGATACGCTACTGAAGCAGGTAAGTCAAATTAACGTATCAATTCTTTGACATCTAATCTTTGACATGTAATAAATAAAAGCTAAAATGCAAGAAAAATATATAATTTAGTTAATTTAAGTGAATTTCATAAATGATCGGTTTACTACACGTATGTATATTATATAGTCACTTACTAGCGAAAAGTTGTTCCATTATTTCACTCAATTTTTGCCGAGATCTACCGCACGCTACACAACCAACTATTTTAGAGTCTTTTTCGATAAATCGCGATAGTGTCACTGTTAATTTAAGTTCTGCCACAATTTCCATCTAGATTTACTACCTTTATACAACTATCAGTAGTAGAATAAATAATAAATAACATAAAATAAGCTCCGTAAAGACTGACAAATCCACAAAATTTCAAATCAAATTCAAATGTGTCAAATGAATCGTCAAACAGAACTGTCAAGGATCCCCACCCTAGAGAGCTTTTATGGTGCCTTTTCCGCCCACCATGCATGAATACATGGATAGCATTATGCTCCTTCCTTAGTCTTCTTATTCAAAGGCGCTACCTATCCCAGAGAAAATCATAATTTTTATTTCATATCTTTGCATTATAACTTATTACTAATCCAACAAATATTAGCATTAAGCATGTTTTCTCTCATTTTTATTCTACAGTATGTCCTAGGGTTCCCAACCGTCCCGGTTTAGCCGGGATTAACCAGGAATCAGAAAGTTTGTCCCGGCGAAAGTTTTGCCTTGGCCGGGACAGGCCGGGACCTGGAAACTAAAAAAGTGTGTACTACACACATAATATATTTTAATTTCTAATACTTAATGTTTTGTTTCAATTATTTAAAAGCTTAAAAATAATTGTCCCGGAATCGCCGATGCTCAAGTTGGGAACCCTAGTATGTTCCCGGATTGTCTTCTTGATAAAAAATAACTTTGCTTGTTCTAAAGTGGTTAATACCATTTATAATTTCGAAAATTTCCAAAGAAAATTTCCAAGTTGAAATTGAAAGCCCTACAAATCAAAACGCGTTTCTATGGTAATTGGTAGGTAATATAATTTCGTTTTCAATTACTAATTAATTACCTACTTATTCCATTTTATTTTATTATTTTGTCTTATTTTATTATTTTGTTTCTAAATAGGTTTTGCTACTGTAAAATGCTTTTGGAGAGAAGCTCGTCATCGAAGCCTCAACAAGGACAAGAAAACTTATATAATGAAAAAATTACTGATGATAGCAATGGTCTGGCTTATTGTTTATGTTATTATCGCTGTACCTCTATGGTGTCAGTATGGTGAGCAGGATATATTGTCAATCAATGATTAGAAAAACTTATTGTTCTTAACAATCTAAACACATATCTTAATAGTTATTAATATTATTTAAAAAATAAATTATCAAAGATTATCATAGATACAGATATATTCATTCAATTGTAGTTACATTTAGTTAATCATATTTTCAAAATATTAATTTTGAGTCAAAATTAGGTTGGTGCTGTTGCTGCTGTCGATGTAAATTTTGTCAACCCAGAGACCAAATAGAAGAAATAAAAACATTTTTTGAAAACAACCCCCCAGGAACTTACCATGATGAAAAAGGAAATTTAGTTAAATACAAACAGACAAATTATGAGGTATATGCCCAAAAAAATCTAGAAAAAGCAATTCTAAAGTTATAAAATGTTTCTATATAGTTTACAGACTGATTTAGTAAATATTGTTTTGTATAGATTTTGATATTATTAAATAAAGTATAAATATTTATGAATTATTTAAATATCTCAGCAAAAAAAATTTTACTTAATTTTTTATTTGACTTACCTCAAGAACTTCAGATGCTCTTGCAAAATGTCCGTATTTTAGGCATATGTTCACCAATGCTTCTGGTTCAGCCAACATGTAGTAAAGTAAGTTTTTCTCGCATTTTAAACCACTTTTCAGATTCTCTATAATCTCTAATCTCCACAGTGCATCAAAAACATATTTCCTCAACTGTTCCAACCTTTTTATTTCATCCGATCCTGGTGGATATAAATTCTTTAGCCATATGTGATCTATCACTTCTTTGAGTGTGAAGAGAATTAATCTAACTTCTTGTTGATTGCAAACAAACATAGATGAATAATCATGTGTCTCATCAGTGTTGACAGAATGTTTAATATGACTTTTCTTCATGAAGATCATGGCAAAAACCAATTCTAACAAGTCAATTTGCATAGAGAAGTCCTCAATATTAATTAGTTCCTTTTGAATATTTAGAATTTCATCATTAACATTGACTTTTTCTAAGCTCTTATAAGGAATTATAAGTTTAAAAAACTGGGATATGATGCTGTAACAGGTAAGAGTCTTTAACTGGTCTTGAAAATCCTCATGGTGTGACAAATTTGAAGAAATAGTGTCAGATAAAAAGAAATTACAATCATTACAGTCATTGTGCAGATTTAAATATTGAGAAAATATCTCAAGTAGACTATATCTCCCAGCAAAATGTAGTTTTTCTAAACTTTTACTAGTACTACTTCTAGACTGGCAAAATTCTACAACTTTCAATAAATACTTAATTTCATTGATGAAATAAGTCCAGATATCACTAATATTGGCTATATTAATTCCACCAATTCTATTGATTAACCAATTTATATCAATTTCTCCTGATGTGTTGTTAATTGCATTAATAATTTGTAAGAGAATAATCTTATCACACGTTTGTATTTGGAATGTTTCGAGGGCTTTTAAATCAACACAGTGAATCAGTTCATTAAACCAATGATTTTTAAAGAAAACTGTATAATCAAAATAGGAACTTGCATCATTAATATTCAACTGAAACGTATTTTTATCCCACCTAATAGACCTCTTTAAAAGGTCAAAATTCTTGTTGGCCAAAAGTGATAAATATACAATATCTTTCAACAGCACGTCTTGTCCTATAAGCTCCCATACTTTAATGATTAGTTCTTCTACACCATTGGATTCAGCGTGAAGAGTTGAAAACGATTTATAAAAATTGTTTAAATCTATGTTATCCCTGGTTAACAAGACAGTCACTTCCTGAACTTCCATATTAGACGGTATTATAATCTATGAAGTACACACGATATTCCTTATAAACACGAAACATGTCTAAACACCGACAAAACATACAAATCTATGATAAATAATTGAAATTACTTTGTATTTGTAATATTTCACAGAGAAAAATATTTACATTGTTTTGTAACGTCAAATGTCATCTTTATTATGTTTTTAAATAACCACAGATTATCCAAAGAATCTCAGAAACTAGTCAAGACCACCCACAGATTTAGGAAATAATAAATAGACGCTTGTACCCAACTTGTACCTGTGGCTTGTGCTGCTTGTGGCTTGTGCTGCGTGTGGCTTGTGGGAAACTTCATAATATTAATGACATTTCAAGATTATAAAAAGAAAAAGATAAATTCAGTTTTAAGGATATTTCATAGGGATTTTTTTATTAATTCATTGAACGAATAACTCTTAAACCTTATTAAAGTAAGTAACACTTTTATTCTTAGATTCTATAAATTTACATGACAAAATATGCTCATTACCAAAACGTTATTGTATAACAAGATAGAAGGATCATTATACGAGCAGTATTTCTCACACATAGCATTTCCATTTTAGAATGGTGGACGTATCACCCTTTTGGAAGTCTCCTTTTACCGATCTAACTGGTTCAATTCTTACTCATCAATTTTACGGGCCCTGTGCCGATATGGAGCTGAAAGCCGTAGAATGTTTCGATGCTTATGGTTTAGATAAAGGATTGACAAAGTGTCAGGACTTGGTTCATGATTTTAGAGAATGTGCTACACGTAACAAACAAGACGGTCGAATAGTGGCATTGAGGAGAGAGAGAGATCGACAGATAAAAAGTGGCGAACGTTCTAAAGAAAATGCTTATGCTCCATCACCTGCACCTGACAGTTATTGATGTTTTTATTATGTTATAGTTTTCAAATAAATTTAGTCGCTACTTTATTCAAATAAGGTTTTTGTTCTCGTGTATTTTCTAAATTAAGTTCTGTTATGTAAGAGCTGTATTGTCATCTAAGATTTATAATTATGTAGTAATGGCCAAACATTTATTTAAATTTATTAAAGTTTCTCTTATTTGGCTGCCAAATATTGTTCACAAATTTAAATATATATTGGTAATTAATTTAGTGCATATTATATCTGTAATATATGTGTTTTATGTTTAAAACTATTTAAAACACAGACTTTTAATAGATCTTTTTATTCAAAGTATAAAGTATTAAAAAATACATAATCATATCATATATTTTTCTCATCTTTCTTTGATTATATGGCCTTTCACAGTTTGGATTCCTTGTACACAAAGTAGTCCACGTTCGGCCGGATAGTCCTGGAGCTGTGGCCGTAAAACAAAACTACTACTATTAAAGTAGTCCACGTCCAGATTAGCCCTATAGTAAATTCAACCCCGAGGTGCACCAAACGTAAACAGAGACATGAGGCAAGCACGTGAACAGGAACGCTGTAGTAATATAACCAGGACCGCACTAAGGTCGGATATTTCAAATCATAAAATTATTATGTATATTTTTATGATTTTTTTTACTATTGTTTGTTTTATGATGCAAATTTATATTATTTAATTGGGTAATTATTGGGAAAACTGGAAATCGTCCGATTTTCACCAAAATTGGTATACACCCTATTTTGAGGTCGTAGATTACGAATCTGAACCAAAGTCTGAACCAACCAGCGATCTCTTACCGTTTTTCAGAAAAACGGAAAATAATTTCAACATTGAATTCTTCTTTATTTAGCCCTATAAAGTTATAATTTCATTATATTTTCATTATATATCATAGTTTATCTAAAAGCTACACTTAGGAGGAGGGTAGAAAAATGTCAAAAATTTTACTGAAAAACACTTTTCTTAATAAAATAACAAAGAAAATTGAGACTAGATGGAAGTTTGATATTTCATATATTCTTCTTTCTCTCTCCTATGTAATGAGAGAGACAAATATATTCTAGACCTAATCTAGAAATTTGAAAATTTACAACGTTGCCATATCTTGTATTTTTTCGGGCGATTCGGGATTTTAAATAAATTACCTGTTATGAGATCTGACAATAGTTAAATATACCTATATCCACAAAGTTACGCGGAAGAGTTTTGATTGCATTGCTTTCAACTTCTATGCGGAGGGGAATTAATCTCTTTTTGTTATATTATATTTAAAAAAGATTAAACCCCTCCGCAAAGAAGTTATATAAAGACTATTTATAACCACGAAGTTGCACGAAAGAGTTTTGTTTGCATTGGTTACAACTTCTATGAGGAGGGTGTTAATCTGTTTTTGTTAAATTATATAAAAAAATGATTAACCCCCTCCGCAAAGAAGTTGAAACCAATGCAATCAAAACTCTTTCATGCAACTTCGTGGTTATAAATAGTCAGATCTCGTTGGTAAAATAGCAGTTATGGGAAGGATCCGTTCCTCTGGCAACCGCCTTTCGTAATCCCAGAATGAGCGAAAAAAACACGTTAAATTTACGTTCAGCATTGGCAACGTTGCTTTAATTGCCAGAAACACATAACCCAACATTTTCAGATTGCTTACAAATTTATTTTAGAAAATTTTCCTCTATTATGCATAGAATTGGTTAAAAAAGTAACAGAAAATAGATGAGAAATTAAGAAAAATTCTATGTTGAAACTATTTTCCGTTTTTCTGAAAAACGGTAAGAGACCGCCAGGAAAAAAGTTCAGATTCGTAATCTACGAATTTTATTAACATTTACAAAAGAATAATTTTATATAAAATATATAACTTTTGATTTTTTGTAGTACGTATGTACTTATTGTAAAAATATGTTATGCAAATATAAATATTATTTTCTCTATTTGTAACTTGTACGAAGCGATCAACAATTATTGAAATAGTTGACCGTTCTGATTTTGCTCGCTTGGTTGGGAATAAATTTAAAAAGCATTTTTATTTTGTCAAAGAGTATTCCTTAACGCGCTATGCAAGCCGACCCTGTAAAAAATCTCAACCGCCTACCTCAACGGCTCTATGGCTGGCCGGCCAATCAGGGTAGATTTTGCCGCTGGCTCTCGCCTGACACGTGCTGATCACGCACTGTGCATTTGTTTATACTGGTGCATTTTGAATTTGAATACGGTTTAGCACCCTAGCAGCAAAAGAGATCTTCTTTTCTTTCTTGATTGTTTTTACGGCCTAAGCTTCCAGGACAGCAAAAGAGATATCTCTGCATTTAAATGGCACTTATAACATTTAGAGGGCAGAAGAATGTGACATTAACCTAGTTTATTCAAGAAATTCCGCCAAATAATCAATTTATAAAATAATTTTTAACAATGAATTTAAAACAAAAAATGTTCATTCAGTTTATGATCAAAAATGGTGCGGCAACTACAGATCAAGCGTTGTCCTTCTGCCAGGGTAAATTAATTTTAAAAGCCTCGCAACTACTGTATTATAAGCTAATTTCTAGATTCGGTTGAAAATTTCGTTGAACTAAAGTTGTTTATTCACGAGATAAATCGTGAAATATCCAAACAAAACTTTAAAATAGGACTAACAACTTGCGAAGTATCGAATCAAGACTTTGTTTTGTGGCTCAATACAAAAAATGATGATGTATCGAAGCTGCAAATAACTTACAGCACGATTGAACTAGAATACTTTCACGTTCTTATGCAGGAAATTCTCATTTCCGAACATAGAAGAATAACCTACGCCACTGCCTTAAATATCACTTCGAGCTTAACGAGTAATTTCACAAGAACAAATGGACAAACTGTATTAAAAAAGTGGTTTGCTGGACAGTATTTTATTAAAGAAAATAGTTATGTTTATTTGGGCTCAAGATTAATAACCGAGTTTACAACTTATTTAAAAATACAGTCTCCAGATCAAATATGCAAGCTCTGTTCAGAATTAGTTTTCAAAGTAAGAGTGTAATTTTTGAAAAAAAAATAGACACGTAAACTGAATATTTTATTATAATTATAGGGAAGAATTTGTGCCAGTTGTGATTCGATCAATCATTCTTATTGTTTGGATAAGTATTTAGAGAGACAAAATAATTGTCCATCATGTTCAGAAGAATGGACGGAAAAAGATGATGGTTCCTTGTATACACAAAATACTGTTGTCACACAAGAAAGTGCTGAAAGCAATGGTAAGATTATTGTATTGAAATTTTATTATTCTCTATACAGGGTGGCCCAAGGTTCTGAATAAGCTCAATATCAGGTTTTCTATTTGAGGTTTAACACTTTAATTGTCTTATAATAATTACAAATTATGCATGTAACATTTTAAAAATAATTTGGATGGCCCTGCTAGGATTTTCTTGGCATGTTCCATTTCGGGACTGTCATTCCAGTCCCGAAACATCGCACCCCTAACCCATTCACAGAGCCTGCCTCTTGCGAAATTTTTTGGAACACTAAGTGTCAGTTCTGGGCGCACGAATGGCAAGCCTGAAACTTCTTACTAACAGCTATTAAATTGGAGGATTTGTAGGGCATGTTTGAATAAGTGACATATAATGATGTTTTAATATAAATATTATTTTCAATTTATTTCTGTAATAATATAATAGCCATAAGGATAGTTCGATTCCTATCTTTCTGCACTGTCAGTTTTTTTTTTCGTCATCTGGGGACCGAGTTGAAGTTGGCGCTAAAGATTTTAGACAGTGACAGTTATTTCGCATTTGACGGACGAGCGCACAGTGCGTTGGAAGATAAATTTAGCGGGACAAAAGCGTTTGGTTAGAAATAAGCCAAAAAATGTGCACTGTAAGAATCTTTGAATAAGAAGACTAAGGAAGGAGCATATCAAAAATCTTAGGTACACCGCGATGGGCCTCAAATATGGCCGACTTAAATTCCGGTTTATCAGTGCCGTTCTAATTTTATTTAAAAAATGTAAAACTATGATGTAGGGTAGACGTGGGGTAGACTCAATAATATGTTGTTTTATTTGACGTTGTGAATAAATGTTGGTAGTTATTAAAATTGTTACAAAAATATATAATTCTAATAGATAAGTTATAATAATTATTTATTAACACAAACATCCGATACGCTACTGAAGCAGGTAAATCTGGTAAATCAAATTGACGTATCAAAATTCTTTGACATCTAATCTTTGACAAGTAGTAAATAAAAGCAAAAATGCAAGAAAAAAATATATAATTAGTTAATTTAAGTGAATTTCATAATTGACTTATTAATGATCGGTTTACTACACATATGTATATTATATAGTCACTTACTAGCGAAAAGTTGTTCCATTATTTCACTCGATTTTTGCCGAGATCTACCACACGCTACACAACCAACTATTTTAGAGTCTTTTTCGATAAATCGCGATAGTGTCACTGTTAATTTAAGTTCTGCCACAATTTCCATCTAGATTTACTACCTTTATATAACTATCAGTAGTAGAATAAATAATAAATAACATAAAATAAGCTCCGTTAAGACTGACAAATCCATAAAATTTCAAATCAAATTCAAATGTGTCAAATGAATCGTCAAACAGAACTGTCAAGGATCCCCACCCTAGAGTGCTTTTTCCGCCCACCATGCATGAATACATGGATAGCATTATGCTCCTTCCTTAGTCTTCTTATTCAAAGGTAAGAATAAATAGTAGACATTCCAAATGATAAAAAAATGCATGTATAGTCTTTGTATTTTGATACATTTTTATCAGCAAAATAAAAACACTAAATCACCACAATACACCAAAACACTTTTACTTTTACACTGGACGTGTGTTTCGCTAACCATGTTAGCATCATCAGCAGATGATTATAAACAGTTTATAATCATAATCATAAATTTGGTGTAACACCAAAGGTTCCAACCCTCAACTGTAACATTTTTATCAACCAAATTTGGTCGTTTTCTGCTAAGCAAGGCAGAGATCATACGAAAACAAAATATTTACAAGTGCTTATACATTTTATTCCAAAGCCAAATTATGTTGAAGATTACCAAAGGTATGTACTTTTCTACTCTACGTATATTATTTGTTAAAATCCTTCATGCCTTTGTTCTGCAGATATCAAACTTTCACTTTTTTTCAAATATCGGTATATTGAATGATGTAGATCTTTTGAGTTACCAATAGTTAAACACAGGTAGTTACAGTCATAGGGAGTTCAAGCTTAAAGGTCGATTTATAAACTCTACAGTTGGCTTTGGATTTGGCGTTGGCTTTGGATTTGCCGTCGACCGTTCGTAGCGCCGCAAAATCGCATTTATAAACTCGACGGTTGACAGTTGGCTTTGGCCGTTTTGGGCAGATCTAACCTCACATTTTTGTTTACTTTATACTTGAGAGTAGCAGAGTCTATAGTGCGTTTTTGGAGACGAAAGTGTTTAAAGTTTTGGTTTTTTGTTCGAGATTTTTAATTACGGATTTGGAAAGTAATGGTCTTGATGAAATTACCCTATTAGGGTTATTGGGAGTGACCATAAATTTGGAATTCCCATACTTCAAAACTAGATGTAAACAAAGCATCACGTGATCGCTCTTTACTATTCTATTGGCAGTAACGTCATTTGCTACGTGGTGCTACGGACGGCGAACCGCCTCGAACGGTAAAAAGTTAAACATAATTTATGTCCGACGGCAACATAAAGTCCGACGGCAATCGGGCGCCAAAGCCAAAGCCAACAGTGTTTATAAATGCTCTTATGGTAATATACAGTTTTAAGAATTGGGCGGCGGCGCCAAAGCCAAATCCAACTGTGAGTTTATAAATCCTACTTAACAGGTGAATGCCCAAAAAATTTCATTTCAATCGGATAGTATAAAAACAAAACAACTCCATCAAAAGGCATTGAGTATAAAAAATTGTCTTAGATACTTACTATATATGTATTTACAATTACCGAGTGTTAAAATTAAAATTAAAATATCTATCTTGATTATATTATTTTTAAAATAAAATATAATTTTTTAAAATAAAATTTAGAGGGTGTCACAAGATTACAAAGTAATTAAAAAATAACTGCTAAAGAGTTTTTTGTAAGTATTTCACCTGATATAATTTTATGTATTTGGCAATAGTTTACAATACGGTTTTTGTTTATCATGTACGAATAATATTGTTACGGATTCCGTGGGTCCACTATTTAAACTCACGATAAAATACTTAACGAATTTATTTGTTTCACTCTGTACAAAACTTGTACTATTTACAACACAACTTATGCAACTACTATTACTCTAACGGTATTTCGCGGTATTTTCAAACTTCAGACTTTAGACTTCAAACTTTAAACTTTTTAAACTTGTCCAACTGTCAAAGCGCGGGCCTTATATACCCCCTGGCGGTTGTTTCTAGATTTTTCTAAAGAATTCTATAATTTTCTTTACTTTCTGGCGAATGCGCCAGGTTCCTCAATGCACCCCGCGACTATTCAGCATTACGCAGTTATGCAACCAGTAATACACCTTGACATTGCCCCCTTCTCAAATTTGATCGTCCCGATCAAGGTTTCCTGTCTGGTATCTCTTCAATCGATCCAGATGAACTACTTTCATCTTACTTCTAGGGCTGCGTTGAATCCGGTACACAACGTCATTTATCCTCTTGATGACTGTATAGGGACCTTCCCATGCTGGAGTTAACTTGGGGACCTTCCTTTCTTGCGCGTTGTGGGTTATACAACCATACCCTATCGTCTTGTTGAAATCCCGTAGAATTAGCTCTGAGGTCGTAATGAGCTTTCATCCGGTCACTGGCTAGCGCAATCTTACTTCTAACGGCCTTATGAATGTCCAATAATCTTTCCTTCCTAGCGATTCTTTCGAACGACAGTCCAACGCTATCCTGTTCCATTTCTTCCCCAGATCGAGTACTTGGTCTTTGTCTAGCTGCGCAAATCTTACAACGTTGACACCATTTCTTAACATCTTCGCAATAATCCACCCAGTAAAAACGGTCTCTCAGCTTACTCAAGGTCTTGTTTACTCCAAGATGGGCTCCAGTTTTACCACCGTGAATTTCTTCCAATACCTGGGTGACTTTCTTCCTTGGTACCAGTAACTGAGTTGTTACTGTCCTGCCATCCGCACTTTCCCACGTGCGCTTTATCAATCCATTCTCAATCACCAGTGAATTCCACTGAGCCCAGAGAGCTTTGAAAACGAGCCCTCTGTCCGCAATATCCTGCCACGGTGGTCTCTCGCCGTTACCTTCCTTGAGCCGTAGTATTGCTCCGATGTCTGGATCTTCCATTTGATCTTTCCTCAACTGTATCGTCGTCCATTGTTCGTCAGTTCTCAGTTTAAAATTCCTTACTCTGATAGTGCTTTCGCGATGTTTCATTTTCTTGCCCAAAGTAGCTCGTCGTCGATCTGGCTCGTTGTCGATAATTTGTACCCGTCCTACACGGCACCCAACGGTTTTCTCTAGTTTCCCGAACACAGTCTTCTTGGTATCACCAGGTATCATCACAATTTTCGATAATATTTCTTCCATATTTCCTGGTCTCTTCTCTTTAGATACAGAAAATTCCTCATTTCCGATTTTCAGGATGTTTCTATGGTGATCAAACGAAAAACCATGTTGACTGATCACATCCATACCCATGATAAAATCATCTTCAATGTCCGCCACTAAAACGCTATGCCGAAACTTCAAATTCCCTAACTCCAATTCCATGAAAGCCTCTCCCCGTACAACGGCCATTTCCCCCGTAACTGTACGTAAATACACTCTTCTTCTAAGAGGCATCATCTTCAATCCTCGCACTGAGTTAGTCTGCACCAACGATACCATAGCGCCTGTGTCCACAGTCATTCGATTTCTTCTACCATTGACCTTCCCGTTGATCACCAAACTGTCAGCGGTTTTTCCTAGACTCCTAACGGAAAACATCCTAGGGGCTCTGTTTTCTTCAGCCAATACTCGCTCATTAGTGTTGATTTCCGGGTGCCTATGTTCTCTCGATGGTAAACGGAATCGCATTTGGACGCGGCAATCCCGTTTGATGTGGCCATTCCTGCCACATCTATAGCAACTTATGTCCTGGGATCTTCCGATGTGCCGATGTTCTCTGGATGGTGAATGGAATCGCATTTGGATGCGACAATACCGTTTGATGTGGCCATTCCTGCCGCATCCATAGCACCTCATGTCCTGGAATCTTC